CGCTGAGGGATTTTGCCAGCTGCCAAACGGCCAGTGGGCGGGTGGCAAGAGGTTAAGGCTTGACATGTTTGGTTTCTACTTGGCTCAACCTCATCTTTTATAACAATATTATAACAATATTTTATTTAACAAACATCGATTCATTCAGGTTTTTTTTTTTTTTTTTTGTGCTTAGCTGTGATTTGGCCACAGCTAATCACATGACATGTGCATGTGACCTGCTGTGACCATTCAAAGCTAGACACTAGTATACAATGGATGGCATGAATGAAGCCATCCATTGTATACAACTGTCATGTGACCTGCTGTGATTGGTCACAGCAGGTCACATGGTACCGGCAACAGGGGCTGGTACTCAGATCTGTCATTGGCCGTGTCCGAGGTACACGGCCGGTGACAGATCGCACCGCTGCGCGGCTCTTCAACCGCGCGAACTGCGCATGTGCGGGAGGACGCCAAATGGCGTACACCCCGGAAAGCTAATGCATTTTTGCGGCCGCCAAACGGCTATAGGCCGGGTGGCAAATGGTTAAAGTGGAACTTCACTCTCTCAATCAACATTGACTGTTTTTAATCCTTATGCTACCAGTATTAGTAAATAGATAGAAAGGTGAATTACATTTACTTGTCTTTACTTTTTTTTATATATATTTCTTCAGTTACTTCCTGGTCTCTTGCCTAGGCAAATGATGTCATGTATCCCAGGCATCTTCTAGAGGGGAGGAGGGGTTTTCTCAGCTAAGCACACCCTCCTGCCTGCATGACTGACCTAAAGGCAGATTGATTCCAGGAAGTAAATGCTACATTAACCACTTTGGACATTTGTGATTCAAGCTGAATGTCTGCATGAGAAAGATCCTACAGGACCTGCAAGATGCCAGTGTATACTAAACACGTTTTCAATTCTGTTCTTTTAAATTGATATTGATAAGCCTTTGGGGTTGCTTTTGCCTAATAATAATAATAAAGATCAAATCTGAACAATGTAATCTGGCTAAAAATGGCTCTGCGGTATCTTCAACATCTGTTTTACATCTGTTTTAAAAGTTTGTTTCTACCTTAAAGTGTATTTCTAGGCAAAACCCTTTCTTTTTGGTTTGAAATAGTGTGGGCAATGGATAGAATGCCTGGTTGTTTCTCCAGAAAAGGAGGTAAGGGGAAAAAGATTGCCCTCCAGAGGATTTACCCCCCTTCCTGACCAGGTCATTTTTTGTATTATGGAGCTACGTAACGTTAACGGACAATTGTGCAGTCATGCAACGCTGCACCCAAATGAAATCTACAATTTTTTTCCCCCACAAATAGAGTTTCTTCCGGTGATATTTGATCGCCTGTGAGTTTTTTATTTTTTGTGCTATAAAAAAAAAAAGCCAGACAATTTTAAGAAAAAAACAATAATTTTGACTATTTGTTATTAAACATGTCCAGTAACAAAATTTAAAAAATGCAATTTTGTCAAAAATGTAGGTCAAAATGTATTCTGCTACATGTCTTTGCTACAAAAATATGTGTAAATTAATTGGTTTACGTGAAAGTTATATCCTTTACAAATGACAGTGTATATTCTAGGATTTTTAAAAATGTTTTACTAGTAATGTCAGCGGTCAGTGACTTATAGCGGGACTGCAGCGGGCATTCTGACACTGGGGGGGCACTGACTTGGTGTCACTGACAGTGACACCAATACAGTGATCAGTGCCAATAAAAGCACTGACACTGTACTAACAGCATTGGGCAGGAAGGAGTTAACATAAAGAACGATCAGGGGCAGACTGACCATTCGTGCACTCGGGCACTGCCCGAGGGCCCGAGGGCCCAGTGTCAGTAGGGGGCCCCATGAGATGCCCCTAGTACCTTTCATAGGCTTTTTTGGGTGTGGTTTGAGTGTGGGTAAGGACACAGGGGCCCCATGATCCCCTATTGCCTGGGGGCCCCATGAGTTGTCAGTCCACCCCTGGGGATGATCATAGGGTTAACTGTGTGCTGTGTACTGTTTTACTGTGTGCTGTGTGTGTGCTTCACTGTAAGCACACTGCTTTGCATGGCTCTGCTATGCAAAGCCATGCATAGCAGTGTGCAGGAGCTGAAAGGGGAGAGAACTGTATTGTTAACTTACAGTTCTCTCCTTGCGTCGTTAATGCTCCTCGATAATCTGGGACCCGGTGATTGACAGCCAAGGCCGCAAATAGTGGCATAGGTAGGATGCGCATGTGACTTGCGCACGCCCCCTAGTGGGAAATGAAAAATCACATATATATGTGATTTTGCGCACCCATGCTGCCCTGTAGCAGTATTACTGCTATAGGGTGGATGGGAAGTGGTTAATCACTTGCCCTTACTCAAAATGGCGGCAGCCAGAAATGCTAGGTAGTGCTTTTCAAAGTGATTTCTCACAAAATAAAGCATAGAGACAAAGATGGATGGATGAGGTACTCAGATGCAATGTAGTTCTCCTTTAAAGCTCCAACGCAGCCACAACAGCACAAAAGATCTCTGTTATTTCTCCTATGTTCCTGCAGACCTCTGTATACTTCTTTTAACATATATTTGTAACATTCCAATCCTTTGGCTCCTATTTTCTTCTCAGATGAAAAATTATCTAAGATAAAGTATTATTGCGGAGAAGCAAAAGAGCATTGAAGAAGGGGATCTCATAACTTCAGGTTGTGGATCAGAGGATGGTGTGAAGACCATTTTGGGAGAGAAGCAAAGACCATCTTTGATATGACGCAAAGTGAACATCTAGTCATCCCACGGCCTGGACAATCAGCACCTCGTGGTGCCATAGAATAGTGTAGCGAGGTGCATTGATTCAAGGCAGGGCGTAGTAGGGAACAGGGGCGGACTGACCATTTAGAAACTCGGGCACTTCCCAAGGGCCCGGGGTCAGTAGGGGGCCCCATGAGATGCCCCTGGTACCTTTTTCATAGGCTTTTTTGAGTTTGGGTAAGGACACAGGGGCCCCATGATCCCCTCTTGCCCGGAGGCCCCATGAGTTGTCAGTCCGCCCCTGGTAGGGACCAAAGCTTACTGACAGGGTTTGGGTCTAGTGCTGGTTTAAAGAGCCTTTGACGTCTCTGCCCCATTATACCTCTAGTAACACGGAGCTTGGCTCTACACCTCAACAGTGTCCCATTAAATTGCTGTATATTTCTTGAGTGTTTCATAAGTGGCTGATAACATGCCTTAATCACTTTGGATGACATGGGTGACCTAAGCACTTGGGGGAAAAAAATGCATTTTTAGTATATGTTTACATTTCCACAATGACTAAAGAGGCACATTTTGTCTATCTCTGAACCAGAGATCTGTTTACTGTAGATCCATAAATAAAATGATTGCATTCTGCTAGGAACATTGCATGCTCTGTCAGCCAAGTATGGATATGTGCATTATATTCTACTAGATTCAGAAAGCCATTCAGTTCGCCCACACATCTGTATATGTACAGCTACCATCAGCTTTTGTTACTGTTAAGGGGGCCATTGGGTTTTAAATTTGGCTCCTGGGATCAGTGCGGCTCTGTTCTAAGCTGTTACCTTTTACAATTCTCAATGAACTGAGTTTACAGCTCTACTAAAGCTCACCAAAGTGTCATCAAATGGCTAATCTGTTATTCAAGCAAAGACTGACCATTCTGTCATATTTTATCTCACATATTACCACATCATCTCAAAATTTAGAAAATGTGTAAGTGAATGTAAATGTAATTCCAACTTACAGAATTAATGGGGTCCGGATTGTACGTGGCAGTTAAAAATACATAAACTAGGAAATATTTGGCAGATCATTGTAATAACGAGAGGTTGCAACCTTGCAGGGATTTATGCACTGCAAAGGAAAGCATGTTTCTTGATTCTAATTGGAACAATGCAGACAATTATATTGATTGGAATATAAACTGTTACAACCCCAAATTTGTTTGGATGTGCAAATATAAAGCTGTTACCATGGGGGGAGAAAGGGTGATTGCTATAGAGAACATTTTAAATATACATCACTCACTTGTAAAAAATGAACCTAAGAGTTAGTCTTTGGCTTGTAACTGTTTAATCAGACAATCGCCAAAATCAATGAGTATTCTAGGCCCAGTTTTGGAATTCTAAGGGTAACAGCAATAAAAATGATTGCTTCCCTAAGTAGACAGCAGACGGTGATGCAGTGATTCTCCAACAAACAAGGTTGATGTGGATTAAATATAGTAGTAACTAATGTGATATCTTGAAGAATATCATATTCTTTCGAAGGTCCATAATGCAAGGTAGGTACTGAAATTGATATACAGTATGTCCCCTTAACCAGGGGATTAGGAGTCAGATGACTTCACTGTAAAAGATTTCCATTGTCCATGTCATGGCAGAGGCATCTGGTTCTCTACCCTTTCCAAAAACTGTGCCAGACCCACCTACAGTATATATGAACAGCTAGCTGTGTCATTTAGTAATTGCTTGTAAATGATACCTTGCTGTCAGGGGTCAGGGTCAGAGTCCAGTAGATATAGCAGTAGAGAGACCAGCTGGATAAGTACACAGGTAGGTCACCCTGACAGATGATACGGGTTCACCCAAGGCGCAGGGTCTAAGCATTGCCCGGTGTTCACCAGAGCTCCTGACGGTGGAAAGGGGTTTTGCTGTGTGTTAGTACCAGGTTGTGGTTCTCGGGATCACGCTACTAGGAGGTGAGTAAACCAGGGTCCAATAGCACATAATGTTGGTTGGGATCAAGCAGAAGCATAGTCAAGGAATGAGTGGTAGCAAATATGCAAGTAGCAGCAGGAGAGACAAGAGCGAAATTGGCTGGAGAAGAGAACAATAATCTTGCAAATAAGAAGTGCAAAGAAAATTGAAAGTCCATGGAAGGAGCATAGAGTCCAAGGTTCAGAAGAAAACAAACTACAAGGCAAGACAGGGGCGGACTGACAACTCATGGGGCCCCCCGGGCAATAGGGGATCATGGGGCCCCTGTGTACTTGCCCAAACTCAAAAAAGCCTATGAAAAAGGTACCAGGGGCATCTCATGGGGCCCCCTACTGACCCCGGGCCCTCGGGCAGTGCCCGAGTTTCCAAATGGTCAGTCCACCCCTGAGGCAAGATTGTCTAATGTATCAGAATAGGCACTGCACGGTATCTCAGTGGCTCTGCAAGAAGAGTTACTGCCAAACACAGCAGAGGTCCTGGGTTCAAATCCTGGTCCTGACATTTGTTTTTGACTGTTTTCGCCTTTGAAGGATATTTCATGAAACTCATATCAGGATGAGATCTGCCTTTTGCCTGTATGTACTCACTTATTTTTTTCTTGTGTGTGTAATTAAGTTGAACTACTCAATTTTTATTCTTTAACAAAAAAAAAAAGATAGTTAAGGCATATCAGATTCTATACTTGTCACCAAATCACAGGAAATTAGGACACAGTGTGAAAAATAAGTTGAATATTTGTTCCCAAAACTGCAGGAGACTGTGTCTAAAACTCAAAATATTACAACAGATATCACTCTGGGCTTTTTCTCAGAAAGTAACATTGTAAAAAAAGAATCAAAGATGCTTGGATAGTTCGTACAATATTAATGGACATCTGTGAACTTATCTATCATTGATTCAGAAGTACAATTGTGGTGCTTAGTATCTCTATGATAAATACGAGTTGTTTGACCTAAGAGAAAGTTCTATTGTTATGTTTCACATGACTGTCATATGCCTTTAAGTGTTCTTTGTATTTTGTGTCTGATCCTCCCTTTCCTTTGGTTTAGTTCTTGCTGTATTGATAGTAATGCATTTCAGCTTAAAACCTCATGTCATGAAGCAGATCACATTATGATCATTTGACCTATCTGATGTTCATTGTTGTAAGTTTCTCTCAGTTTATGGAATAAACTTCACAATATCTACAAGGTGTCATATGATCGAGTCACTGCCTGTGTTGTTCAACTAAGATTGGAGTTATCGCTATCTCATCACAACTGTAAGTTACAGAGATCACACTTTCACTGCTTAGATTGGAGAGACAGAACATATATACTTATCAAATGGCACATTTGTAGGCAGTCCATGTTATATACAGTTATAGCCTGTATTTACCATTACTTGAAAAGTAAGAAAATATCAGAGCCCTTCCAGAGATAAACATTTGTTAATAAGCAACTATTACGTGTGTTTTAATGGAGTATTCATAATATGTACATAATAAAATGTTTTCTATTTTATAATATGACTTATAGTCAATAAAATTACCAGCCATAGGTACATTTTATTGGCGTATTAATAAACAGAGAGCTGCATCGATTTTTGCCTTGCCTGGAGTTCAGCTTTAAAGAGACCCTTTCATGTAATAAATTGCTTCAATGAAGCCCATACCTGTAAAGGCTGAAAACTAACTGACCCTATTACTTGTACCTCTCAACGCTGCTCCTATGCAGATAAATGGTACCCCAGGAGCCCCCAATGTATCTACCTCTGATTTCCCATCACTATTGTATCCTACAGTTCCTCAAGAGGAGGAAAAACTGAGAGCTGTGGGAGACCCCCAGATGTGTTCAGTCCAGTGGATTTCAGGGACCCCATTCTCTGCTACAAGACAGCAATGAGAGGCATGGGAAGCAAGAGAGGTAAAGTAGAAGAAAAGGCTACAATAAAGCTTCTTTAAAATGCTGTTTCCCTATTGCTCCCCATTGACCCGCATGCAGTCTACCATAAATTGCAATGTACTGTAAATAACTTTTTTGTCAAGTTTTTCTTTTGCAATATATTTTATTGGACGTTTCAGTGATAGTGACGTATGAAACAATGAATAATGTATGAATATTTCCATTGGGTTCATATTGCAAATAATCAATGCACAATATAAGAAATTGTTAACAACTATCACTCATGTGATTCCAAACAATCACTATCTGTTTTCCTTTAACACAGAGCACTCATAGATTTTATATAGTCAGAAAATACACATCACACATTAACCATCACACATTTTATCCCCCTTCACACAGGGAAGGGGAAGCACAAGGGAAACTGAAAAAAATTTTTATACCTTAATGCAAGCAATGCATTAAGGTAAAAGAAAAATGTTTTTAGGTTTAGCATCACTTTAAAGCAAATACTTAGGGTACTTTACCTGAATCACTGGTTAACCCAACTGTTGATTTCACAGGGCGACTCTAAATATATAACAGGGTGGCAGGTGAGTTCCTATTGCACCATACAAAATGAGCAATGGGCACGTACAGGAAGAAATCATATAAAATCAATTTTCTGTCCATGTAAATGATAGCTAGAAGCATTTGTTGTTGTTTTCATCACAAAAAAGGTTTCAGTTTTTCTAAAACCATAATATGGGTCAGGGATGATATTTTGTTGGGTTTTGTAAAATACAAATAGTCCATTTATTAACCTGCCAGCAACTTAACATGTGATACTGTGCAAATACATCTTCTCCATCAGAGCCGTATATAATGGCAAGTTACTGTAATGCATATAGATAAATTGTGTCAGACAATCCTGAAATGAAATGCATTTAGAAAGAAAACCGCGGATTACCGCATAGAGCACAGCCTGTGAAATAATGGGTAATCATGCACTTCTAGTGCTTAGTAAAGATGGCTCAAATTCCACATTATTGTAACTCCCTACTATTCTCTGTAATTCAAGCTGATGTTCCATTTAAATCCACAATTGTGTGTAAAGGTCGACTGATCAATGGATATTCTAGCAAATTTCGTTTCTCTATTCAACAGCGCACTTACAGATGATTTCTCTTCATAAAATATACAGGACTTGTCCTGCAGCGTCTGTCTAAGTGAAGTGACCGATCAATGCGCTAAGGCTTCAGAGGTCAAAATATTAGCCGGCGAGGTGTTATCACAAATTGCTTAAGAAATCAAGCAGGCCTATTAAAGGCTTCCCATCGGAATTTGGCAGTAATTGTAGTCACATTTGTGTTACCTCTGTTACTAATGTGCCTTCTATAAAAAAAAGCACTTTCAGTGAATGACACTTGTATTTATCTCTTTTTTAATATTCTACCATTTGTATTTTAAACAGTATAAAGCATACTAGCTGACCACACGGTTAAATAGAAAAACTGAACCCATTCTGCCTTGAAAATATAATTATTGATGGCTTTTATATGCATTTAACAGTTAGGTACAAAATGGCAATGCTGTCTTATCCCTTCTCCTCTGTTTGTCAAACCTGAGCATAATTGAACAAAAAAAACTTCCACTCCCATGGTGCAATAGTTTCTCATGCTTTGTTCAGTTGTTAGCTGAATTGTCAATCAGCATGATGTAGCCAAACTAATAGCTTTCTAATTCAATGTACACTATATTGCCAAACCAGCCCTCCAAATCATTGAATAGGGTGTTCCAATCACCTCCATGGCCAGAGGTGTATAAAATCAAGCATCTAGGCATGCAGACTGCTTCTACAAACATTTCTGAAAGAATGGGTCGCTCTCAGGAGCTCAGTGAATTCAAGCGTGGTAACGTGATAGGTTGCCACCTGTGCAATAAGTCTATCTGTGAAATTTCCTTGTTACTAAATATTCCATGGTCAACGGCAGGCCCGGATCTAGGGGGTGCTGGGGTGGGCTTTGCACCCCCAGATTTTACTTGTGCCCCCCTTGATCTCCGAGAGTGGATACAACTGATCCATGAAACTTGATGGGGAAAATTGATGTAAAGGGGCACTCCGATGAGGACATTTTATATAAGGGGCACTCTGATGAGGACACCTGATGTAAGGGAGGACTCTTATAGGAACCGCGATGTGAGGGGGAACTCTGAGGACTCCTGATGTAAAAAGGGACTCTGATAGGGACACAGGTTCTGTTTAATCATGCTAATACATATTAGTGTTCTCCCTGCACTACCTGTCAGATATTGCAAAGCTTTGGATGCAGTGTTGTAAAGCACGCCGCCACTGGACTCTGGAACAGTGGAGACATGTCCTCTGGAGTGACGAATCATGCTTCCCTGTATGACAATCCGATGGACATGTCTGGGTTTGGCGGTTGCCAGGGGAACGGTACTTGCCTGACTGCATTGTGCCAAGTGTAAAGTTTGGTGGAGGGGGGATTATGGTGTGGGGTTGTTTTTAAGGGGTTGGGCTTGGCCCCTTAGTACCAGTGAAGAGAACTCTTAAGACGGCAGCATACTAAGACATTTTAGACAATTTCATGCTCCCAACTTTGTGGGAACAGTTTGGGGATGGTCCCTTCCTGTTCCAACATGACTGCTCACCAGTGCACAAACCAAGGTCCATAAAGACATGGATGAACAAGTTTTGGGGTGGAGGAACGTGACTGGCCTGCACAGAGTCCTGACCTCAACCCAACAGAACACCTTTGGGATGAATTAGAGCGGAGACTGCGAGCCAGGCCTTCTCGTCCAACATCAATGCCTGACCTCACAAATGTGCTTCTGGAAGAATGGTCAAACATTGCCATGGACACACTCCTAAACCTTTTGGACATATCTGGGTTTGGCGGTTGCCAGGAGAACAGTACTTGCCTGACTGCATTGTGCTTCAACTCCAGAAGAGTTGAAGCTGTTATAGCTGCAAAGGGCGGGACAACTCAATATTGAATCCTACGGACTAAGACTGGGATGCCATTAAAGTTCATGTGTGTAAAGGCAGGCCGGTCAATACTTTTGGCAATATAGTGTATATGAGGGCCTAGAATAATGTTTACTCACTGTATTGTATCTATGTAGGAGCAGAGTTGTCACCCTAGGTGTGCTAGGTGTGCTATGTCTATTGAACACTTCCTCCTAAACATTGGGGGTTCTTTTGTTCACAGAGGAGAATCGGGCAGGACTGGTAACAGAGCTTGAGATAAGAATGTAGAATACAGCAGAGAGTACTAGATTTCTGGCAGGAGCAGCAGAAATGATTTTGCATTTATCAAGCAGATATAACAAAATGCTTTCGATTGTATATTCAACAGACCAAAGGGAGGAATTAAAACATGTTCATTGTTAGGAATTTACCTGCACATTACAATATTTTCCACACCCTGTAAGCCTAATACAAACAATCAGAATGTCGGACAAAAAAATATGGCTTTCGAAGTGATCGCATGATAATCTGATCGTTAGTACACAGCTTTAGTCTGAAATTATACAAAGGGAGA